ACTGGGACAAAAGTGCTCGATCACCACCAGCACCATACTAGTAGTAGAAGGGGACGAACCAATCCAAACCCCCAACACTTTCTTACTACATCCTACAACAACCTTGGAGCTGAACTAGAGTGCCATTTGGACTTTAATATTAGGTACCCCGTTTAATGCTAACAATGATATGGTCTAGGGGCTTGAATGACGACAGTTAGCTATCACAGCAAAATTGTGGCCCTGTTTAATTTGTGATTTCTGCCATGCAGCTGTCTTCCTTCCCAACCCAGGCGGGAAGGGAAGGGGGTTTACTTATCAATCCCCACGCGCCAATAAGTTCTGCCTAGGCCAAGGATACATGGTACATGCCATCTCCCTTGATAATATAAACGGTGGGGCCTGTACTGATTGAGAATAGCCAGGAATTAGCTCTTCAAATCGGATTGCCGGTGGGATCGCCACAACCCCATCCAATGATGGGGTTTGTCAGGAATAATATTTGGAAGATAGGGAATGGCCCGTCTTGCATTTTTATCTGATTGTTTCCTATGCGTGGCGTCCACGTCCATGTCCACAGCAAAAGTGTCCGACTGCCCACCTCATCGCCGTGCCCCTCGGTGGAAGCATGTTTCTAGATATTCATGCGGCACCGGGGGAAGGGAGGATAGAGCCAGGCGCAGGACAGAATTAGAATGCTGTACCGCCCATTGTGTGTGTACTCAGATAGCGGAGCTCAATTATGTCAGGTCCAAATTACTAGTAAGTGGCATGTGGGAGGCACTGGTGAATATATATGATTGTTGGATTCCAAAGACCCTGCCTTTTCTTCGGCAATGGCTCAAGGATGTGGGCAGATTCTGACGCAAGATGCACAGAAAAGAGGAAGAAAAAGCCATTTCCGATGGGAAACAAAATTGGTGGTTAAATCAGCTGCGTTGAAACCGATGAAGGCTGGATTAGTTACCTAATTTTGCGCCATAACTTAGCAAGTTAACTCTGTCAGATATTTTCATCTACAAGTAGCTATTTAACATCTCCAGGCGCAGACCTACTTTTATGATACTACCTGAAAGCCAGCCGACTATGGGAAAAATTTGATGAGCTCAGGTACGAGCGCCTCAGAATGAAAGTGAGTGCAATTGTCTCAGTCCCCCGACCGATCGGATCAATTGTACACCAAGCCTGGTGGTCTATTTCATTATTAAAACGCTCATGAGCACATGTGTCACGCGAAGGAATCATGAGAGCAATGCTTCGGATCCTTTAGCCCGCTCTGGCTCTTGTATGATGAAGATGCATTCTTATCTACCGCTGTTTCTCAACCAAATGTTTTTTTTTTTTTTTTTTTTTCCGTCTGAGGAAATATTCTGTCTTTTTCCTCTCCTTTACTGCTCTTATGCTCTGCCCGGTGCTTTGGGATTCGCGAAATGACGTTACTTTGTCTGGCAGTTCTATGATTGCAGGCTGTACAAAACGGTACATCGTTCTAAAGAATGAGCAGACATCAAAATTATGATCGCCTCTATCATTTCCCCTTGTACTTACTTGTGGCCTAAAAGTCTAAACTTTCTGGCTCTATGAATAACTGAGGTTGCAAGGATCTTTTCTTTATGTTGCATCCAAGGTTCTACGCAGATTTTCAGGATTGAGGCAGCCGAAAAATGCGCATTTCCTTGTGTATCTTTTTTCATAGGCAACTGGGACCGCTCCCTATTTCTATCGACATTAGATCTATTAGGATCAGGTGTCTATGACATTGAAATGGGTATATTTACCTTCAAAGGAGCATGAGACAGCTGTCCTGTCTCGTTCCGTATCTTCTGGGGAGAGGCGATGATGAGTCTCTCAATTCACCTTATACATTCTGGACGGTTCGCATGAAGTAGAAAGGCCTGGGGAACAGGCGATAACGTCCAGCTGCGTTGGCCGGGCACGCGTAGATGTTTGTTTGGTGTGGGAAGCAATTATGCAGACAGCAAACACCTGGAGGTGAGCTGAGGTCACATGGGTGGTCTGCTTCTTGAGGTCAACACTCGCCAGCTCACTCCTGATGTCTCTTGATTTCCCTATCTCGACGCGGTCATCTATCTCTTCCTCAACCATCATTCTGTCCCTCCTTACTGTAATCCAGTTCTGGGCTTCCCGCTCTCATTTAACAATAGGTTTCTTTTCCAGAACCAAGTTCTATCGTCTCCTGGGTGCTTCAGGAGCAGTCTATCGCTCTCTCAGTACCTTGCTCTGTCCGTTTTTTTCAAACTCATTTTACAGCCCCTGCTGTTCATTATGCGCGTCCTGGCCGTGATTGGAGTGGCTTTCTTTGCCCTGGCTGCTGGGGCTCGTTTGCCTCGAAGGTATGTTGATGTTTTCTGCTCCGTTTAGTTCTTCATGCCGTGTCGGTCGTATTACATTCACGCCTTTTAGAGTCCTTAACTTTTTATACATGCTCTGCATTCGTCTCCAAGCACACACAGAGGCTCCTGCTTCTGAGTAATTGGAATGATCCCTGCTTTACGTGGTCGAAATATTTTCCAACTTGATGCATGTTATTGAAATTGTGCGATTTGTTCCATTTGATATATTAGCCATGTCAGATTTTTAGAGTACGGACTCCAACTAACGGATAGTGTATCTAGCTGGAGTGATGCGAATGAAGAAGCTGTGACTGTCACAACAACTGTTCTCCCCAAAGATTGTGTGTCTACAGAGACGAGTACCAATGACCAAGTTGTAACCATTACAACTACTATTTCCCCCCAAACCTGCGCGTCTCCCGAGATCCGGCCTTCAACCAGGACAATCACGGAAACAGTGTATATCACGCTTACTCTCTTCGTTTCGCCTGTCCGTTCCACAGTTAGCTCAAATGATGAGTTGACGACTCTTGAAGAAACATTAGTGACATACACGACTGCCACTTCGAGATTTGAAACAATATCTACCGTCACCAATGCTGGCGGCAATGATGTCTCTTCGCAACACTCAACTTTCATAGTGACAGTTCGCCCAGTACCTGTTTCCGAGTCTACAACAATAATTACTTCAGTTTCAACGGAAGTGGTTACCTTCACTTCACCCTTCACCTTGATCGACGTCCCGTCAAATGATTTGCCAGATAAACCATCACCGCCTACCATTATGACTGACAGTAAAAGCGCCCAAGCATCTAAGACATCAGTTACTCCACCCGCCCCATCAACTCTATCCACCATAGCCGGTGCACATGGTACATCCCGACTCTCGACTCGAATTTCACATCCTACCATAACCAATGCGACCACCACCACCTCTGCTGTTCCTTCTAAGCCGTATGGCCCTAGCGGGTGGAATTTTACAAATCCAGCGAACGGTACAGCCCAAGCTACAGGCGTTCAGTGCGTTTCTGGGCATCCAAATCCCAACTGCTCCAAACCGCCTATTGTATCTATTAGCAAAAGACAGGTCGGGGTCATGGTTACAGCAACTATTAACGGCCAGATTGTTTCATGGATTAACCGATGGGACGGTGGCGCTCTGTCTTCCCCTACACCTTCAACCCAAGCACCTATAATTGAAATCACGAGAACGAAAAGTACACCCTCATCAACTCCAACAAAATGTGGAGAATCGGGTGAATTTACAATGGATGTAAGTAAACGTATACATATCCATTTTGTTCTACATTTGCTTCCTTAAATGTCTTGTTCTCATTTGCTCATCGACTCTAGTTCGACGATTTGCCGAGATATTCCCCAAGTGACAATGACACTGCGCCATTTCCACCAATTTTCAACCCACATAACCATTTATTCTTCTCCGATGGATGGTCTTATGGCCCTCCGCCTACCGAGCCCTATCCTCCGACTTCCAACCCCCACATCGGGATCTACATACCTGAGAAGTCTAAGGATAATCATGGCTCTCCGTACGCGGGATTGCTAGCCGGAGGTGCATTTGGCGCAGGCCCACGAAGTAGCTTGAACACTTTCTGGTTTGATGCTTACTCTGCTAATTTTGGATGCGACAACGGCTTTTCCAATACAACTTGTGCAGTAACGGTATCGGCAGTCAGGTATTCAACCCTAACAAAAACAGAGGAGGCTGCTGGAATCCGCAAATTCACCCTCCCACCATGCCCGGGCTACAAAGGCTGTACCCTTTCTCCACTGGATTTTGGAGACAGTTTCCGTGGGATAAGTGGTCTCCAATTTTCGGCGTCCGTTCGGGATAAATCTGTCATTCTGTTTGTTGACGATATCAAGATGAATTGGTATAACAACAGCTGTGCTGCCGGTTTAGAACGGCTTCGTTCCCGTTGAAATGTTTGATCCAAACCCGTTGCGAGAACGCAAGGGGAGCATGGAGAGCATGGACCGGAATTGAGCCCATGTGCACCTGTATGGAATCGTATTGTTCTCCGATGCTTGAATCTATGTATTATGATATCCAATGTGTGCTTTTCAGAACAGGGGGCGTATCTTTGTTTCCACACTTCTGGCATTTATCCTAATGGTAAATCGGAACAAAAATGTCCCTGAGGGAGACCACTTTTACGCTATTTTTGATGGGTGTATGACTTAACGGTGTTGAGCGTGCTTGAAGCTATCGGTCAATATTCAAAATAATTTAATTATTTCTTCCTCGGCAGGTTCAATTGTTAGGCCAGTTTAATTCCCGGAATCTCGGCACGACATATTTCCGAAATCCTCTCTGACGTCGTTGGGGCTTGAGTTCCGATGTTCCCGCTCTGAAAAGAATCCTATCCTGTCTCGTCCTGTCTCGTCCTGTCTCCAAACACTCGTGAACACTCAGTTCAGGATTGTCGTTGCTATTCCATTGCGCGTAGGTGTCCTGAGGTTCGAAGTCCCATCGACGTTGGCGTTCCTTTGTAGCGATGATTGCCTACCCTTGACGATCCGATTCAGCACATTTCTTCAACGCCGCATTGTTGATGCGTGTTCAACGCCGTTGCGGTTCTCGCTCGTTACATTATCCATGCCTCTCTTTCAGGTAAGGGAACTTTTACAGTTCCCTGAAAATGGAGACAACGCTACGGACACCGTGATCAATAATATTCACTTCAATCTGACCGCTCTAAATTATTTCAATTATACCCTCTATTCCAATGGAACTCTTTCGAATGGCTCGAACTGCTGGCTTTCATTCGACATGTACCAGCCTTCTATTCTATCAAACGGAACATTTATTAACGCCACATCTTGTTATTTTCCGATCAATGGCCTCGAGGCAAGGGGAAGTGTGGGCATTGCTTTTGCTTCGATGTTTGGAGCAACCATAGTGTTTACCTTGATAAACCTGCGAAAGCATGGGAAAACGTTTTTACCACTAGAGAAGAGATGGCGGGCTGTTGGAAGGAGGTGGCAATGGTATTGGATGCTCTTTGTTGCAGCCTGCGGTATGATAAGCTGTTTCATGAGCATTGACGTCGATCGGAGTTATCTACAAGGAATTGCGCTTTCTCTTCAGAGTCTGTTTTATTATTTACTTTTACCCGGCCTGCTGGCTGCAGTGTGGGAAGGAGTCAGGCATTGGTACGTATTTCATTCATCTCTATGCGCAGAAAAATGCTATTTCTGCGTGTATGCCCAAGGTTTGGTCGCGGCTATTGACGTCATGTAAAGGGGTTCATGGCAAGAACGGCAGATTTGTGATCGCGACACCTTCGCATTCTCGGAAGCTTCTACAAGAGAAACCCAGGAATTTTACTTGCCACTGATTTTCTACTTTTTCGCCTGGCTTAACTTCTTCCTGGTCATTCCTAGGAACTGGAACTCGATCCAAAAGCAAGGCAACCAAGACCAAACAATGAGCATCGCCAAACCATCCGCGACAGACGGCCGCTTCAAAGCGGGGAGTATTATTGCAGTGGTGTGCTTAGCTGTCATCTGTTATAGCCTCTGGCATAGCGTTTACAGATACAAGCAGCAGCCTGTAAAGCCTTTGTTCCGTTCAATAACTTTCTATCTAAGCTCTGCGCCTTTGAAATACTGCATCTGCATTATTCTAACTGGTCTCCGTGTTGGATTCGGTGTTGCCTCTTCATTCTCCTGGGATATTTCCCCAGCTAAATATGATGGCAATGCTGGTTGGCTTTACGGCCTTGGCTATGCTCCCCCATTGCTCATCATCACTGTGCTGAACATATGGGGCTACATCGATCCTAATGAAGACAGGGCGCTTATTGAGCAGCGTCGTGAACGTGGACATGCCGCAGACGCTGAGCTTGGTATCCCTGGAATGCGAAAACCAGCTTGGTGGCGCCGATTGCGCTCTGATTTTCAGCATGTGTCCAGCAACGACCCTAACGCGAGATTGAAAGCTATGACTATGGAAATCGGAGGGGGGAGGCCTACACAAAGGAACTTGGAGCGGTATATTGAGATGGGAACGATCTCTGCAGGAAAGACGAATCCGGAAGATAAGAGCGGCGGGCCGAGCGATACAGGGAGCCCAAGCAATGCTATATCAAATGATCCATATGCGGAACCGATCGCCAAAGTTAACACTTCAACACTATTGAATCCGACGGGTCGGACGATGCGGTCTCCCAGCAGATCGAGCAGCCATGCCACATTATCATCTGAAGAAACCTTGACCCAAACTCAACAACCACAAAAAGTGAGGAGTATGTTGGATATCTGAACAGCATTTTTGGTTTATCACTTACACGATCATGTTCCCATTTCAATTCCTCTTTTGCTCAAGATTTTTTTTAGAAATTCTTTTTGGAGTCTCTGTGCATATCATTGTTATATATTATTCATTACTGCATTCTGGGAAGTTTGGAGAAATTCAGGCGCTGGGTTTTAAGGAAAAGAGCTTGGTTACGGCTGTCGATCATGACACGCGTGAATGGGAACGCACGCGAACCAGAAACGACTACCAATCATACATATATGCATACGCAGCACATTACTTCCCTGCTAGGTTGGATCGCCTCCAACCTATGTTACGATTTACGAGCACACTGATTTTGAATTCTGAAGGAACTTGAAAACATTCACTTCTTACTGCTCACTTTTGGAAGATAGATAGATAACTGCCCGAACTGTGGTGCGGCTCTTGATTGCTTATTACTGTTTCTATATTTGTAGCTTTTTCCGCAATCAATCTTCTAATTTTCTTGGTCTTTCGTCGTTGGGTGAATTTGAGAAGAACCACAGAAAGCGCTGGAGTAACTATAGATAAGGTCTGTTCGTTCCTGGAATGTCCAGGTTGGGTAGATCCACAAAATCCACCACCAAGTTCAGCACCTTATTTGACAAGTAAGTTTCATTGAGAAGTTAGATATCTATATAAATTAGTGGTAACTAAATCAGGTAGATAGAATAATCACAGCTCGAGTTAGAATAATTTTGCTATCCTATCATGTAATAAAATCGAACCTTTTTCGTTTTATCCATTCCTCTCGGGGGAAAGAATTAATTTTGACGGCTGATTCGTGTCCATCAACGAATTCATTTACTCCCTGTATCTGAAAGACGTTCCAGGAAAGTTCCCATTATCGTTCTGGCCTCGTCGTTTCGTGGAGTTCGTTCGTGGAACTTGAAATCAACCGTTGGTTACAGGCACCGGGGACCGGAGAGAAGATTTGCAACCAAGAACCCACCCTCCAACGCCCATTCGCCAGAAGTACGAAAATTCGCTGACTTACTCTTCATTGCAGACAGGGGTAAACAAGTGAGCTTCACCAAACCAAAAAACCCATGCAGACATCTCTGACAAGGGTCATTTCTCCTCCCCGTATTTAGCTCACCTTATCCTGGAGCTTGTCTTTTTTTTGGGTCGCTAGCGGAAACCTTTTTTCCAGCTGAGAACCCTCCTCGGGTTGGCTCTGTTGGATCCTTCAGGATCTGTCGAGACCCCAGGAGGTAGTTCGTGCTCAATCTTACCTGGTCTTGGTCTCACTGTGGGGGCTTACATGATGCTTACTGAAATCCACTCAATGCTCACTCCTCCTTCAAACGTTCTGTCCCTGGCGCAGCGACCTGGCTTGATGTCAGGATCGCAGCTTTTCTCAGAGCCATGTCGCTTGAGCCGTACATTCTGGCTGCTGGTATACCATCTTGGAGGGGGTTCATAGGTACCTCGGTAGGTGACTTGCATTCATACTGCCATACCTGCACTCAAAACATGAAGTAATATTGCATTTCAAAAGGGCAAAAAGAAGTCAGCCTTCGGAAACAAAATAAGGTCTCAAGGAATCTGCAAAAATGAAATTACGGAAATATAAAAGCTTCAAATAACTCAGCAGTGTGGCTTGAGGGTTTCTTATCCCCGAAATGCCAACATCGAACAAGATACCACACACCACTGGGCCGATAATGAATGGGACAAAACGTACTGCGTAAATATAGTATGTTTGACGTCTATTTACCAAATCCTGGACCATGCTCGTAAGGTATCTTGTAGGGATGAGACAAGGCTTTATTCATACCGCGTAGTAAAGCTATTTCCCAACCAACATCCATAATAAGTTAGCAAGGATGCATGAGTTGCCCATAAACCCAAACTCAGAATGGGTTTTATCCGGTACTTTTTCCCCTCAAGCAACAGGCGCCGCTTGCGTCGTTAGTATTACCCGATTTAATCGACGGGTTACAGTTCAAGGGTGGCGAAATCAAGCTCCCACCATAGATTGGACAAATTAAGAACAATTTGACATCGGAAAGAAAATTTTTCTTTAAATATATAAAATGAACTCGCTGGGGCTCACTGAGGAGAAAGGCCACGAAGGACGCTAGTTTCAAAGACTCCCCTTCCAGTGTTTGAGAAGTAAGCGCTCTTGATAATAACGAGTAAATGATGAAAAGGGTGGTAAAGCGAGGTCCGAGAAAATGGTCATAATAACAATAACGATGACAATGATGACAATGATATTGATAGTGATGATAATGATGAAATAATAATGATAGAATGACACCCTAGCTTGCCCCGATTTGAGTCCTTTTCCCATGAAAAAGTAGCATCCCATCCGAATTATAAATGCAACGCAGAGGTAATTTTCAAAACTACCATGTGACATAATAATGTTTGAACACGACCAGTCCGCAAAAAAAACGCCTGCGCAAACCTGTAACAAACCCCACCTGAGAAAAACAATTAGAAATGCAATTTTCGAGAAAGCCAGTCTGAAAAACATGCGCCTAAACGTTAATAAAAAGCAAAATAATTTGTACATCCTTGTCACAAATATCTCAATTACGATCATTTGCAAACAAATCAGGCTGTAAAAACTTTATCAAGTTGTCGCAATGCTCTCATATCTTCCCCAAATCCGATTTTTTCACTGGGGATATCTTTCGGTCCATCGCCCGGGCCCCTGTGCGGTTTTGGACTTCTGTTGTCTCTTCCATTTTCTTTAGCCTGGGGTCGTGATCCGTCGAGAATATTGGACAAGGCCCCCGACGGAGCAAGTGTCGATGGGGGAAGCGGACCGTTCATAAGCGCGTTGATGCTTGGAACCTTTGTAGCAGACGAAGATAATATGGCGGCGCTATTAGTGTTCTCTTGGCTGTCATTGCCATGAAGTGGGATGTTCTTCAATGGAGGGGGACTGGGCGCATGATTAGGTTGAGTTCCATTCGCCTGGACGTGGTTAGGGTGGCCAGGAGAACCGATTCTGGGAGCTCCCAAAATGGTTGGTGGTTGCGTCCTCGGGGATCGAGTGGGGCTATAGAAAGGGGACAGCTTGTCCACTAACAGTGCCCGGTTGAGAATGCATTGGAGGGGGAAGTGTAGAATCGGCTGGATGTACAGCTCTTTCGTACGGGCGGGCAGTTGGGGGTGGTGTGGGTGCTGGTCGTATGGAAGGATGCATGCCCATTGGGGGTCCTGAGAGGAGGCCAATAGCAGCATATGGCAGACGCAGCATGTCGTGCATTTGTGATAGGAGGTGGAGGCCAGCTGTACGGGCGGGCACAAATGTTGAGGGTGTGTAGGACCGGAACGTGCATAGGAAGTGAGTGGGGGAGATATGAAAACCCAGGTGCGGGCATAGGGCCACGGGTCACGACGGGCAGGTTTTGTTGATCATTGACACTGGACTCAGGATATAACCCTTTTTGTGGGCGGATATGTCGCAGAGCTGGATCAGTGGACGGCTGGTTCAAGCCAGGAGCGGTTGGATGAGATCGGGCATAATAGCTGATAAGATGGAGGTGTTGTCCCGTAGATGTCGTTATACTGAAAGATTGCTTCATTAATCCATCCGGCTTGTAACGATACCCATCTGGACCTTCCTCTCCACCCTCTCCGGGATCTTCATCGCTCCCTCTATTACTGTCAGGAGTTTTCCCTGCCCTCGACGCTTGCGCACCATGGCTGCCACCCCTTTTTCCTTCCATTTCTCTATAGGTCAAGAAGCTCCCTGATACTCTGCTCGCGCTCCATGATTTACCATCTGTCCATCTTCTCATTCCTGCTTCTCGCTCATCCCACACAAAAACGGAGCCAGATTTGACAGACTGCCTTTCTTTCTCCGATAATCTTCTCTGGACTCGGGGTAAAAGCCCAATGCGACAGGCTTCGAATAGGATGATAGCATCCGCGGGTGTGCGGACGTGTCCGTTATACGTCTCCATCCCCTTCGCCTCAACAGGGAAGAAAACCGGCTAGTACAAACGTCACGCCCTGAATCTGAGGTTCGTTATGGATATAGTGTATTCGAACGTGGGGGAGGCAGCACAAAAAACCCAAGCAGTCCGGAAACTCTTTCTGTCTCTAAACTTGTAGTGCAATCTTTGAGCACTAACGATTCATGACAGGAGGTTAGCAGATTATGTATCAGCTTTAGGCGAATTGGAAAGGCCGATTAAACCTAAACAAAAACGGAGCCTATCGTTCGGAAAGAAGTAAAGAAAAGTTAGAATATAAGTAAAAATAGTCATCTAACTAGGATTCCGCAAATAAACGGCTATGACGAGGGATCCCTAGGTAGGAAAAGTAACTACGGAAACAAATGCAAGCTAGGCGCTGGGAACTCTCCGTTGAAATTGGGGTTGGGTTGATAAGCTTGAAAAGGAAAATAAACGACATCCAGGTGCGAATGACGAAGAATAGAATCTCCTGGCCATACAATAACGGAATAAATGAGATTGTCAACATACCTAGAGATTTCAAAGCAAGTCTTTAGCAAGAGGATGGAGGGGTACGCAATAAAAGTGATACAATTTTCAAATCAAAGCGGAAAAAAGTCGGCAAGCCCAGATAGGCATAGAATAACTTCGCAGCACTTGGACGACTTTTATTGCAGAACGTCCTGTGCTTTAAAACTGCGTTCACTGGCTGAAAGGCGGGTAAGAGGTGAGGTTATGTCACATCCGTATGTGAAGGAAATGAGTGCCGGGGAGAAACAGCTCTTTCCTGGTATTTTGAGCAGTTCTGCAGACCCAGGCACCGTGAGCGTTACCTGGCAAAGGAGTGTGGTTGTGAAAAGGAAGATGCAGAAGAAAGATAGATTGGATAAGGCCCACGAAAGGCGTAACACGTGAGAAAGAGCCTCGCTGATTGGATACGGTGCTGACAGTACCGTATTTCGTATATAAATTACGATACGATATCGATACCGAGACACCGACCATACCCTTCAGCGAGCCTAGAGGGTTGGTGAAAAAATTAAAAAAAATTAAAAAAAAAATTAAAAACAATAAAGTAAGAAAGAAAGAAAGAAAGAAAGATTCTTCTGTTTGCTATACTTCAGCACTGGAAAAAATATATGCCGTACCTTCAACAAAAATTCTTCCATCACCATTATTTCTGTGTAGGACTAATATGACCAGCCATATATGTTATATAATGATATGTGTGATGCTGCAGGAAGTACGTTTTGATGTCCGTACGAACTCTTCCACAGACTTTGAAAGACAACCACTGTATATATTTGTAACTCGACATGTTTGCTGCACTCTTGCGTACGAAATACGGCGTATGTTTATAGTAGTGATATTTGCCATATCAAGCCTTTTTAATTCCTGCATTTATATCCCCAAATCAGGTAGGTCAAGCGTGTCAGATATCATTCCTTGTATAGTGTGGAACTCAATAAGGGCCTGCAAACTGAGATCTTTTTTTGATTTCTTCGGTTGCTGCAAGGCCAAGCATTGCCAAGCACGCCTCGTGTAATGTGAACGACGGAGTTAAAAGTCACTTAATGCTTAATTGTGGACAGATAAATTGACTGTGCTCCACTCCTTCTATTCTCATGATTCATGAATTCCAACATCGAACGGGCTTGGCGGTGGAAAACACCAAAAAAATCAAATTTTGTGAGTAAGGAAATAAGCTAAGCCATGTCCTGCAACCGAGAGTCCAAAAAGGAGCACTGACCAGTTAGTTTCCAGGTACGCATGCTCCTTCGATTTATGGTTTAATCGTGCCGCGCGCACCCACATCAGGTATTTAAGCAGCGAAAGCTTAAATCTACGGCTTTTAGTGATTCTGTTTTTGCAGAGTTTAACTTAGGCTCCGTGACAGCAGACGACTGTACATGTACAGTACATACATTGTTGCTATGGAATTTACTACCAAATAACTTAGCTATTTTTGTTTATGATGGAAAAAGTTGATTATAAGACCCTTCGAGCTCTCCTCATGTGAAGAAGTGAAGCAGAACATACTAGGAGTGTTGTGAATCAAAATTTATGCTTATTTTTTTATTTATTTATTTATTCATTCAAGAACAGCTGTCAGCGCCCGCTGGGCCACTGCGGATGGGTGTGAGGCTCTCAATAGGCAATGGAAGAGGTGACTCGATTGGTATTATTACTGCTACCCACATTGCTTTCTGCATTGGCACCAGTTCAATTGGTTGTGCTGCCTCAGCAAGTTGAGGCCAACTTAGAAGGGAAAATTGCACAACTTAAAATGAAACGCCTTCCTTTTTTGGACTATCATACAGGCTTCTTTGAATCATTTTCCTTCGAAACCCCACACAAGACGGTATTTACCTTAATTAATTCGTCCAATCCACTCTTTTCAATTTTGACGTTCCCTGCTTAGATTAGCCGTTTTTGAAATTCTAATAAAAGGGGCAACTGAATCCTTTACCCATTTATCTGCTTGATTGCCAAATTTTACACGATACAGAGAGCATGTCAACCATAATCGGATCAATTCATGGTAATACGAGACTGTGTTACAGGAGAAGAAACACATTTAAGGATGAAACAATATTGCTCCACGGTTTGTCTTTTGTTCGTTCGCTCGTCGGTAATGCAGGCATGGAAACATAGTATTCTGGGAAAATGATTCAAACAGGTCAGATCAAACTTCAAAAGCCCAAGTGCACTGTCTGTTTTGTGTCATCATGTGGTTATATGTCATACTATCGGAGATAACTCATTCAGTCATGGCATGTATGTATACAATGTGTCAGCTGGAGGCTGAATTATTATTCTTCGAAAATTTTTGCTCGTTCAATCGGAAATTTGGGATCTATGGGAGCTCCGAGGTTCCCAGTCAGCACCCCCAGCTTCAGAATTCTCGAGTATACGAATTCACAGTGTTATAAAGTCCCACGCAAACAGCCATTCAACAGGCCGTAGGTTAGAAAAATATAAAGTTTTGCAGATCGTTGGATACATAATTTTTTGAAATTGAGGAAGGTCACGATCTTGAATGGCAGCCGTACTTCAACTAACGATGCACGATCACAAAGCTTTTTCATGCTAAACTAGCGCCGTCATGCAATACGTGGTGTATACTTTACCACGCTATTACTATGTTCAGCAGCAATGGTAATTTAAGGCTAACTTTAAACTGACATCCATGTTGCTTCGCCCGAATTTTGTCCCAGCTTCGTATTACTGTTTTATGTTTTTTTCTTATCAATGATGGTTGAAAATTAGCCAAATGCTTAGGACGATTAGCAATCTTTCCCATCCCCCACTTCCAAACCGGGCTTGGGTGATCAAAGCTCATTACCTCGGTATGGCGGGAGAACAGGAACGAAGTTGGCCTCGAAACCAAGAACCTGTTCATCCAGCAAAGGTGAGAAAACAACTGGTTAGACCAATACATTTTCCAGGTTCAATATCGAAAATTCATTATTCTTGCTTAAAAATGACAGCATGGACGGGGAACATTTTCAGAAACCATGGTGCCGAATTTATTTCTTTAAAACCCTGGAGCCTTGGAGACTTTGAGCAATGGAGCTTACTAGCCTCGACTCAGCTCCAGCCACCCGATGTAAACATGACATGTTGGGGTTTTGGATTGGTTCATCCCCTCTTCTACCAGCATGACGCTGGTGGTGATTGAGCTCCTTTTCCCCAGTGGCCCTGCCAAAAGGATTGGTTTCGAGTAGTAATTGATTTTTTTCTTCCTCCATCGCGTAGAAAGCTGGAGTAATTACGATTTTAATATCTCTGCTGAATCTTGGGAGCATCCATCAGTGAAGCCTTTACAGAATCTCTATTAAAAATTATCTTCCAGCAGCTGTGCTCAGCAGGTATACTTATAGATAGCGCTGAAGAGAATTGTTCATCACCAGTATTCTCCGCGGATCTGCATGTTGACATTTCTATCTAGTTATATGCTAACTTGTTGCAATGATCAATTGATCGATAGAAAACAAATTTTAGAGTTATTCCTTATATATATTAGTAAAGTGTCTTTATGAAAGGCTGGGCCTCGAGAATCTCTGCCCTGGATCTAAACTACTATCTGTGGTGACCAGCAGAGGAGAAAAGCTCTGACAGATACGAATCAGTCGAAGTCCCAACACCCCGCTTCCTGGCTTCCTGGCTTCGAGTCATTTTAAGATTTTAAAGTTAAAACGTGGGACCGGCGGCCAAGCTTTTAAGCGAGCGGGGCAACCATGATCCTCTAAGGTATTTTCAACCTTTATGGATCACCTATGATTGGACTCTGGGGACATGGCGCAAGCAATGCGAGGACCGTGCGTCGTAAATGATGGCGATTGTCAAATATATTTCCTCGGCAGGGTTGGATCTGTGTTCAGCTGGGCTAGATGTTCCTGAGGCAGTCCTCCCGTGTCCCCTGTATTGCGGTTAAACAATATTTAAAAAGTGGGTCCTGCTTATAACCACCCAACCCAAAAACAGGTGGAGTGAGAATTACTCCGTAGAAGGCTAGGATGAAGATGCCCTTGAGATCACCCTCGACATGTCTGCAAGGGCTCTAATAATGTTAAATTAAGCGCTGCCCAGTTTTGTCGGTCAAAATTTAAAACCACCTTCATTTTAAAGAAAAGAAACCCATTCAACTTACCGCCTTCGCCTTTTCTTTCTTGGCTGCTTACCTCCATTCCCCCAGAGTGGAGGATTTCAAAGAAAACATAAAGCTAACCATTGGCAGGCGAGAAGCATAATATGAACAAGCTGCGGGCCATGGTTCGTTTCGTCTCTTCCCTGAATTCGGGTCAAGACAAAGCAGGTGACCTTTTCACAACACTTCATTTCCTGTTTCATATTATTTGCAAGATTTCCAGTTTCTTATTTCTTTTGTTATCATGTGTCTGGGTGATAACGAGAACGTTCATGGTTGTGTCCGGAGACAACGCCCGCTGCAAGTAAGAACCAACCCGCATCCGGTGGACGGCGGCTTTCAGAGGATTTCCGAAAGAAGCCATGAAATTTTCAGCAATCATTTCTTCGGACTTCGGCGTTGCAAAGAGCCCATCCTCACAAAACCCAGACATACCCTGTCGATGGGAAATCATGTTTCAGTCTTGAGTGAACTGTCATTGACTTGAGCCAACTGATAGATCGGTAGGGTATCTTCCGTTTCAATTTTCCCTTGCTTACTGGCATAGCGTCGATTCTCACCATTCGGCAATATTTCTGACGTGAGTGCGATCCCCCGTCAATAGAATTGAACCACATGGATGTTTGTAACGACAACCCCAGTCTGACCTGCTGTGGTTTCGGAGTTTGCATCCTGCAGTCGTGTTAAACCCGTACTCCGTACGGAGTATTCTGTACTGAAATGAGACTTCTCTGCTGGCCCCGGATCAGATCGGGGTTGGATGTCTTTTTGTGCTAGGGTGCATTTCGCCCTTGAACTAAAACCCTTAGTCATTGGATGTATTTTGTTTTATTGCATTTTCATTCTTTCTTTGTAGGCTGACTCTTGCGTCAGGCAGCTGATCTTATATTCAAAGCGCTCGACAGCTACTCTGCTCACTTCCTTCACTTCGACTTCAATCCTCTCAATTTCCGTCCTCCCAAATGGAGATGAATATGTGCGGTCAGCACCCTTGGGAATTGGAAGCTATTGTCCACCCTTGTCGCTTCATGAATAACTCTGCACGAAGGCATTCCGTTAACATAACAATTACAGCAGACACCCACAAAGCTGATATCACTGCTTCCATAAAAAAAAAGCCCATTGTCGACGCATGTCCCCACGATCAATTATTAATTCAGGCTGCTGACAACTGGGTAACTCGTATGTTCAATAATAACTAGGTTTAAAACAGAGAAGGTAGAGTATTCTTTGCCAAGATGACCAAGCATACATATAATTCGGAGACGCTGGCAAAGTGGCCATACCAAACTGTAAGAGGGTTGAAGCTTGGTTAGTTGTTATTATCTATCTAGTGTGGGTCACGTGGGATAGGGCTTGTGTAGTAGCTCCAACATAGCTAAAAATATCTAGGAAGTAAGTATCCTGATCTAGGCACTGTACAAAGATACCTTCCTGGCTAAGGACATTCTGTTATATATTTGAGATTTTTACCAATTAGGATCAGCCTCTTGAGCGTGGGTTTGAAGGAGTTTTGGATGTTCTGCATTTGCCATGGTCTTATGGAGACAGCTGCTTTCTGCCACCACCCTTGTGATGCAGCGGTGTCAGACATTCAAAATGGGTCCCTTCTCATTTCGTTACTTGTGGACAGACGCCCCCTTGGTGAGATAACGATATATGAACAATCTGTGGCAATTCGCATCCTACTTGATATTACACCCCGTCTCTGCCTAGGTATGGTTCATTGAGATACTAAATGGGCACCTCTCCCCATTAGCTGACGCGGTTGCATAATGTCTGTAAGCACATGCAGATAGCCATTTTCGATGATAACTATTTTTGATAACTACTAGTAGGGGAAAAATGGAGGTTACGATTACTCTGAATAAGCTTACGTCTTTTCTCATCAAAGCATCTCAAGACAGCTAGTCTGACTCTTAAAAAAAAGAGCGCGATAGAAGAAAATGATCTTCTAAACCTGGAGACGAAGAAAATGGTTAGAAATAAAATTATATCAGTGGATAATATGAACCTTGAGCAAGTTTTCCTCTGCAAACTTCAAACTTTTGTGTCGATGAGGCTCGGCAACTTTGGCTCTAAATCAACTGTCATGCCAAATGTTATGTCACGGCGCCCACGCACTGAATATACATATTGCTGTATAGGACAAATGCACAGTTTATCTTCCTCTCCTGTTTTTTTCTGTAGTGAATAAGCGCTATTACTCGTACTGTTTATTAGCCTGTGCCTCACATCACCAGCCCGTATCAAATTTTCTAAATGACTTATTTTGAATCTTCGTATTGTCCTGAATTAATACTATCTGCGGTAGATAGCATGGACCTCTGACATTTAACACTCACTTGGGAAAAAAAATAAGAATACCTGATAGTCGTATTTAGTATATGACAAGGGGGGATGAAAGATTTAAAACTAGATAGCCAGTTAGTTATCAGAGAATGATTACTAAGCAGTTCTCTAATTAGAACTCATGTCTACAAGGTTAATTAAATGATAATTTGTTCAATAATACTCCGTACATGTACAGAAACTGTGCTTGAACAAGAATGGGATCTCTGAAATGACCTCGGTTTCGTTTTCGGAGCGGATGGTGAGCGTATCCGCGGCTAGGACTAGCTGGGCAAGGGCCCCATCCGACCATGTTGCGCCAACTTGATTGAAAATTCAGACTTTTGTGAGAGCATCTCATGCTCCCTGTTCAGGTCGAGGACTTTTGATCATCGGCACAAGGTTGAGCCGGATATTGACACAGTACTGTATGGCGTGTATGTACAGCGAAATACCAGTATTGTATGAAACTAACCAGTGCATAATTATAGTTTTTTATGCTACCGGGGTTGGGATGCGAGGGTAACACGGATGTGCAAACAAGCTTATTTTCGTATTCACGATACTCACGGGCCAGAGCAGGTCAATGAAAGCAAAGCAACCGATGAAAAGAAGGTTACCGACGTCAACACCAAAGTTTAAATAATCAATACCGGAAGATGCACCATCAAATGCTCGCGGGGAGGGAAAAACAAACTGGGGCCCTTGTCTGTGAAAACCTTCAGAGGCCCTGATCTGTCTGTTAACTGGCCGTGGTTGCTTATGCTGTCCTCCCCATGCTAGTGGCCAGTGTAAGAGTCACCGGGCTCAGCTAGCAAGGTTGCGCCGCTGATCGAACAGGGGCTCAAGATAACCTTAACATTTTGTGGGTCCGAGAACCAAGGATTGCGAGCTGTGGACCCCACACAAGAAGAGCGGAAGCAGCGGATGAGGTGAATCGGAGCAAAAGGAACTTAATTCCCACATCTTGGTTTCCCGTGCTTTAGCCGTGCAAAAGTTTGGCCGCAATGCAGAGGTTAAAAACTTTAAAACGTCAGTCCGCCCTCATTATCTTGCCACGCCTTCTCCCGGCATTCGCTGTGGTGGAGAACATGCTCCCGAGTGTTGAGGCCTTCACAAGTCCGCGGTCGTATTCGGTTTGCGTGTCTTCGGCCATTTTTTTTGGGACGCCATGGCTCGTCAGAATCCACAAGAATGGCTTTGTCTGACGTTGACAGAGGGTAAGTCTTGGCGGGAAGAGTCGAAGAACGAACAAATTGTCTTGGAATTAAGACCTAAAACTCTTAGTAACGATGGTGGCTGGTGCATAATTACGACCTAAGATGCCTCCTTGTTCCACCCTGGTTCGTTGGCTCTGGACTCGATGGCACCCATATTTTAAGTGAACTTGAAGCACCTGTTTCTTAGAATATAAAATATTATAAAATAAAATTAAATTAAATCAAAGGGTCTCCCGTCGGGCAGCAGCAAGCCCATAGTGCCAGAGTGAGACGGGAGAATTTGTGCAGCTAGGAAAGAAAAGTGGTGAGGAGTTAGCTGAATTTAAGGTTATTTAACCGTTATAAGGTTTGGAGTCCATGCTCAGGACCTCATACCTGGTGCTTGAAATCACCTTTGTTCCAACATCATTACTCCACCACATACCTGGTGGCGTTGTTTATTTCTTCACACTGCTGGCGCCGTAAGTGAGAGTTTTGTGGCTTGTCGCCAGTCTGGGTCGTTCGTTGCTTCTTTACAGCGTAGATTACATACCTCGCTATGGCGTGGAGCGAAGAATTTACGTTCTCCGATAACGCAAGATGCAGGAATGAGAACAAGGCGACTGAGGGGCCGTGCCTCGAGAATTTGGAATAAGATTAAAGCTAAGAGGGGTAGTCTAAGTGCATCGTGTTACAAGCGGCGGGGCCTCTGCCTTCTATTGGCTGCTTTCGAGGACATCCGACGAAGCCGGCCTTTCGATCTTCCTATTTTTGGCTCTAGAACTTACATATATACTTTAAAATGAGAGGATCAATAGTGAAGGAGCAAGGAGGATGCAGCTGGTATACAGTAGGTTCTTTTGTTTAGATGCGCCTTTCATGTTGGAGATTAGAGGGCTGGGCATAAGTACAAATACATATATTGGATGCAGCAGGGGTAATGAGCATGTTCAAATAAAAGAAATGGGTATATTATCACAATTCAGAAAACAGAGAGTGGATACTTTCATATCTCATAGCACACAGATCTTTGCTCGCCGTCATAATACAAAGAGGAGAAATCTAGTAAACATTCGTCAAAAAAAAAAAAAAAAAAAGAAAAGAAAAGAAAAGAAAAGGGGGGGGTTGGTGCCTTTCAGCATTCAGCTCGTCCAAAATGTCGTGGAAACGGGACAACATCCCTCAGGCTGGAAACACCAGCTAGATATCCCAGGTATCGGTCGAACCCAAGTCCAAACCCGCCGTGAGGCGCACTGCCCCATCTCCTAAGATCGGCATACCATTGAATTGAGCCGAGATGTTCATCCGGTTGGAGGTAGGGATATACTGGCGAACTCGACTCCGATATCGAATATGTCGAAGGAGATGCGTTATCTGCGTCTGAACCAGCTTCGAGTTTTTTCTTAAGAAGTCCGTGCTCACGCATGTTCTTTATAAGATTTGGAAGTCGTTGTTCACGAATAGAGCCACCGACAACTTCGCTGATCTCGGGCATCAGAAGATCAAAGCAGGCAACGGTTTCCCTTGTTTGGAGTGGATCATGATGTGGTACTTCTGCTGCTGGTGATGATGAAGATTCGTCCGTGACTAGTGAAGGTGCCATGTAAAATGGTTTCACCCTTTTTGGGTAGTGGGTCACGAATACAGGACGACCCTTCCCTATTTCATCGACTATGAATTTCTCGTGCTCGAGTTGAAGTCCTTCCTCCCAGACGGGGGGAAAGTTAAAAATGGTGGCCTTCGATTGAACAGCTTTCTGAAGCAACTCGATCGCGCTGGTATATGTAATTCGAGGCCATTTCTCACCCTCCATAATACCAAACCATCGCAGGCGTAGTCCCTTATCAACTTTTTCCGCGCCTGACTCCCCTGTCCTCTTAGCTGTGAATATCTCTTCCGCAACTGGAGTCTCGTATAGTCGTTTCGTAAGGTCACGAATTAATGACTCGACAATATCCGTTAACGAATCCACGCTTTGCACAAAGTTCATTTCTACCTCTAGCATATAGAACTCGCTTAGATGCCGAGGCGTATCGCTCTTTTCTGCTCGGAAGGTGGGAGAAAGGGCCCACACATTTCCCAGCTCGGCCGCATACGCCTCGAGATGTAGCTGGCTTGACACTGTGAGGTATTTTGGCGATCGAAAGAATTCCTCCACTTCTGCACCCCCCACTTTATCTCCTGGCACCACGGTGAACACTTCCCCAGCGCCTTCGCAGTCAGACGATGTGATCAGCGGAGGTTGGACCTGCACGAAACAGCCACCGAGCTGGAAACGGAATACCTGTCCCAGTTGGAAAATGCTTTCTGATCGAAATCGAGATAAGAGGGAGTTGAACGGTGTCCGTAGCCGAAGATGTGGGATTTGTCGAAGGAAATCTGGGCTGTGGTATTTCTTTTGAATTGGATATGTCTGCCGGTTTGGAAGGGTGTAGGTATCAGTGGAGGATAGTCGACATGCTGTGCAAGGGATTGGAACGAAACTAACCTCAGGGTCCGTTTCCCCAGTTATCTTGACTTCTGTCGCATGAAGCTCATGGCTTTGTTCTTTGCCAGGAGGACAAGGCTGCCAGACGCCCGAAATATCGACGGCAGAACCAGTCGACAACCTATCAAAATCAAGAGAAAGGGAAAAATCGAAAATTAGTAGACAAAAAAACATGGAAAGGAAAGACAACAGCCGTCAGGACAGACAGACATACCGAGCAGCCTGTTCCGGTGTCAAAATCGCCTGCACCGACTTAATTGTCGACCCATCCGAGATCTCAGCAAACGCGAACCGTTTCTGCTTCCTCACCGACCGAATGAAACCTCGAACGCGGATTTGGCGGTTGTCTAAAGAACTTGCGCTCCCATCAGGAGCAGCAGTAGCTGTCTCAGCAGTTCTGGTGGTTGATCGGGATGCGTCCAACAGCTGCGCACATCGTAGTAACAGCGGGGATTTTTGACCCGCAATTGTCGGAGCGGAGGCAGAGGTGCTCAGACATCTACGCCATAAGAGCATTCTCCTCAGGCACTATTATGCCAGATTTAGCTTGGTCGTAATGTGTTGGATTCTGATTTTGAGTTCTACTGTTCGTGGTTTACGATCGTTGTCGAAATGCTTGGCAGTTTCTACGCTCCCGTGACTTTTGGCTACAGAGCAGAGGATCGTACAAGTACATTAGAAGAATCTGCAGCGGCAACGATAGTAACATATATAGCTAATGACAGATTATGCAAGAATCAAATGCAAAAAAAAAAAAAAAAAAAAAAAAAAAAAAAAAAAAAAAAAAAAAAAAAAAAAAAAAAAATTTTAAAAACTCGCCCTAAACAAATACATAGTTGCCAATTTGAATAACAAAATGGAAATGATTTGGAAAAAAAATTTAAATTTCTATGAAAAATGGCTCAATCACCGAAATACAGTCCGTTGCTCATATGCCTTCCTCTCCTCTTCAATCATCTCAATCGCGTCTTCTAGGTTACCATTTGATGCTTCTGCATATATGTGCAGGTTGTGTGAAGGAAGACTCGGGTCATAGCCATAGCCAAGAAGCCCGAGATGAGCGATACATCGATCGATATCGTTTGTTGGTCGACTCTGATCTTGCATTTCCGGCTGGCGTTCGGCAGATTGATGGATGGATTTAGGAGGAACAAGTGGTATGGTTTCAACGGGGAAACTACCCGGGATATTGGAAATGGCATCTGCTGATTGGCTTGGGGTCAGGTGTGGATTATGAATTGGGGACCGGTCTTCGAGCGCATGGCGATGCCTGCTAAAAGCCACTCGTGGAGGTCGGCGGTTTTGGCGTTCTGTCGCGCTGCGTCGAAGGCTCGAATGCCCATTGCGCTGATGGCGCTCAGTGAAAGGAACAAACGGTCCAGAAAGTCTTGCTGCCGAATTGGAGGCTGTTGTATTTGAGCGACGGAGTTCACTGGGCCGTGCTGGAGATGACGCTCGAGGCCTCATTAACTGTGCACTATACAGTTCTTGGTGGCCAGATCCCGGGATTCCATATCCCTTCTACTGGCCGTGGTTGTGGACGCAGGTCGCGCATATTGCGGTGCGTTGA